AGCGGGGCCACTCGGGACCACCACCGAAGCGACGACGGGTCCTGCAGAGAACGTAGTCAGAACCGGCGCAGCGTTTGTAGGTACGCTGCGTTCGATTTACTAACCGCGTGCTTGCATGCTAAGTCTATTTATTTCAGGTGGTGGGTTTTCAATTTCGTCCTAATGCTTTTCTTTCTCATATAAATGCCTACTTATACTCTCTTCTATACACTTGCACACGTCGCTTAAGCCACTTGTAGTTATTTCGATAACATTTTCGTGTTTGTAGCATTTCCCTGAAATAAACTTCCTGACCTCGTGAACACACCTCGTATTCGTTAGCAAACAGCTTATTTCAATGCTCATTAATTTGAGGTATATATCACCCTTTCCTTATGCAGTACTCGATTTATTTTCCTTGTTATCTTTCTCTCAAGTGATTGGCTGTTGCTTGATATCCCCGGTGTGGCTCCGCTTGATGTGCATGTTGACAAGGTGCCTACCTCTCTATTACCAACTACCTCATCCATACGGGCTCCAGGAGACAGTTGGTCATTGCTATAGGGCACGGGGCGCACGGTTCTTGTGGCCGTGTTAGGATCAAAGAGTGGTTCCATGCACTCAGTGTGGAGCGGACTACGGTCCGGCCAACGTCTTGTGTGCGCTTGATTCCCCAAATACAGCGTACTTGTGTTTGTCTGTGAAGTAGTGTGGGCCGGCTCCGTTGATGAAACGTGGCTTCCATCCGCATGCCTCCCGGTCTTATTCCTTCGGGTTTACACTGGATATGGGGTATGTGGGTGGTACAGCGCAAGCCACCCACGGTTCCTCTGTATGCGCAGGTGTCCTGTGGCTTGCCACAGTGACAGGCAAATCCGAAACCGGATGCCTCCACATATATATATATATGATGATAATAAATACTGTATACTTAATCCTGAGAATAGAGAACGAAACGATAAAAATCTTTGTTGCTACATCGTAGGTAGGTTGGGCACATGCGCGGAATCACGTCGCTGATTCCTACGCGATGGTAGCATATTGCAGCTGCACCACATCTTATCCGGATGCGATACGCCTCCTATACAAGTAGTCCGTAAAGTGGACGTCAAACATTCTCTGAAATTCCGACACCGATATTACCTCAGACAGCTTCTCCCGCAATATTTCTAATATTTCACCACTCGACGCTCGAAGCAAGTGGGTACGCGATCGTTTTAAATCCGGTACCACTGGCTTGTACCAATGTCCGCGTGTGTTACATGGTGCGCGAACCTGCAGCAGCGGCCTCAACATAGGGAAGTGGCCCAGGGGCAGTATGCTTTGCGTCATAATGAGATCAACTCTAAGCCGACGAGACGACACGGTATACAGCCCTAGTCTCCTACATCGGTCCTCGTACGACATACCCCATAAACTGGGAATGAGCCGGGTAGCTACATGTTGAACCCGTTCCAGTCTCTGCACCTCACCTATTGTGCTCGATAATAGGAAGCTGAGCAGTACTCAAACACCTATGCTATTATGGAAGAGAACAGACGGGTGACAGTTTCTTCAGACCAAGTGCAGTAGTTGCATCCAAGTACCCAAAGCAGGCGTATTCCGTTGGCATACAGCCTGTGTGTTGTCGACAGACTTCAGACCACAGCATGGGAGTACGCCTAGATCCTTTATGGAACTGTGGGATGCAGCGGTTGTCCTGCTATGCTTGACCGGGTTGAACGGTAGGACAAATTCTGCAGGCCAAAGGCACAGGCGGTCGAGGTCCTGTCGAAGGATGTCACAGACGTCGGGAGATCCAATGACGCTCCAAACATTCAAGTCATCTGCAAACAGTGCAGAAGGTGACCGAAGTAGCTGAAGAACTTTGGTTATGAGGACCAGACATAAAATGGGCCCCAACAATGTGCCTTGAGGTACACGGTTATTAAAGGGGTACCAGTTCGTTAGATATTCATCCACCTGTACCCCACTATCTTCTCCCAGTAAGGAAGTCACTAGTCCACTGGTTCAGTGCGCTAGCAACACCACACATCCTCAACTTGTTGAACCGGACATCATGGTTCAGTTTTCCGAAAGGTTTGCTGAAATCAATGTAGATAACCTCCACTGACGTCCTCCGGTTCAACGCTTGAAACCATTCCTGCTGCGTCAACAGCAGGTTGGTGATGTAGGAGCGGCCCTTCATGAACCCGTGCTGTGCTGGCGTTAGGTCTTTTGACTCTAATAGCTGGAGAAGATCCTTTTTCATAATCTTCTCGAGCACTTTTGCCGAAATAGAGGCGAGACAAATCGGCCAATAATTGTCCACCTTCGTCGCGTCACAACCCTGCAGGATTGACTTCACTACCCAGTATTTCCAGTCCCTCAGAAACACACTCTGGGACAGCTATCTGTTGAACAGGTCCATTACGGCAGATGAGATGATGGCCGATAAAGACTTTAAAACTTAGCGGATGAAGTTCGACAGGCTTTTTGCCGTCAAGACTGGCGAGTAAACTGCAGACATCTTCTATACCGCAGTCCAAGCCCTCGAGTTCAGTAGGGCTTGCACACGTCGAGCTCGACATAGGCGCATTTCCATTTGTAACTACGAAAGCAAAGTGCTCCGCAAATGCGGACGCACGTTTAGTGCTCCACATCAGAAACTGTACCTCAGTGCCCTCTAACACAGCTACGTCACTTGCCGGCCTCAGGCACGGCTTTACCTAAGCAAAACTTTTCTTGTGGGCCATTTCCGTTGAGATTGCAAGCTTCCTTTCAAACTGCCAATGTTTTCGCGCTTTTGCGCTTTTGTAGAGATTCCACTGCCTTTGTGTTCGCCTTATAATCGTCAGCGGGGTCAGACAAAAGGGGTTTATTCAACAATATGAGTTGCCGTCGAGCGAATTCGCCATACTGCCTGTCGAACCAATATGGCTTCACTAGTCCAGCTTCCTGACACGTGCTGGCTACGAAACGAGCACACGATGGTACACCCTCTTTTAAAGCAGAAAACCAGACTTCAACTGATGAATCCTGCGGCAGCGACCAGTCCACTTAACTGACGGCTCGATTTAGACCATTGAAGTCGTTCCTCCAATAATTGTAGGACTTCTTCGGCAGACGCGAGTAGGCTGGCTAAGACCATCGAGTTGTCACAATCTGCGAGAGGTTCCGGGACATGAATTTCATGTACACGTTGCTCACAACTTGTTAGTAGTAAGTGCAGGCACGATGGAGCGGAATGCGGTGTAACGCGCGTCGGTTGGCAGATATACTGTGTTACCCCAGTTTCAAATACCATCTCTGCAAACTGCACCTCGAGTTCACAATGCCCCGGGGAGTAGTTGAATCTCAGGCCACAGTATTCGAGGGAAGTTAAAATCACCCATAAACAGGAAGCGAGACCGACTCTCGTAGTTTCTGACATGCGGCAACCAATCCAGACATCGACTTCGCGGGCTGCGATAAGCTGCACCCACAAACAGCTCACCCTGTTTAAGGCGGATCGAACACCATAACTGTTCGCACAGGCCATGTTCTCCGTGGTAGGTGTGTAGAAGTCTCCCCTACAGCGAGGACCGAATGTATAACAGTACGCCGCCTCGATTGTTTGCTATTCTGTCCCACCGGAACCACAACTATCCACTGGTCTGAACTTCCTTGGTAGTGACCTTAGAATGTAACCAGGTTTCTGTCAGTCCTAGCACATCCGGACGACGTGAGGCAGCGAAATGAAATACATCGTCGCGTTTGTTCATTAAACTGAAAAAATCTGTGAAGGCTACATACAAGGCGCGGTAGAAACCGACGGACGCGCACAAAGCGTCATCGACCTGTTGATCCGGGTTCGGCGGACCCGGGGAACTACCTAAAAATTTACAATGTGGATATTGATTTCTTCACTATCAGTCCACCGCTTCAACTCCACGATAGCGGACTTTAGTTGCTCTCTGTCCGGTGGATCTAAATCTGGACGAAGACGGATCTTTAGACATCTTAATCTACCAAAGCGGAACAGTATAAGCCTCGAACTTGCTTCATCAACAAAGGTGACTCGCAGAGGCCGGGACTTCCCCACCTCTCTCTCTATTTCGAAGACAGGGGATTTGCTTCATCCGCAACCTCTGTTCATTCATGTCGAGAACTTTGTCAATCAGGCTCTGCATAAAATCTATGTCGCGGTCATAACGAGCCTTAGGACTAGCATCTGTCGACGCAGGTACATGAAATATCATAAGGTTACTACGCCGCTTAATTTTGTCAGTTTTCCTCTCTTTTCTGGTTCGTTACAGTCTGCATTGGCCTTCATCACCTGCGCTATCGCACACTGGAATGTTAGTGTCCGTAGAATGTAACACAGGTACGCCAGCTCTGGTTTCAATGACGGGTGGACATCGCTCTGGAGAGCTTGCAGCCGGCGGGCACGTGGGCTCGTTCGAACCTAATGGTGGCTATGTTTCCGCTTGCTTTGATGAACTCACGGAGCTCCTCCCTATGGAACGTTGCACCCGTCTTGTAGGCTCCCGCGGCTTCTCGGCTGTTTATGACAGCACAGTGGCTTGGGATTTCTTGTCCAATATTTGGACATAGTAATGCTGAATTTCACCCAGTAGTACAAAATTATCTAAGTGCAAACCAATACACCAAATGCGGAAATTCACGCGACACCGAAAGTATGTGACATTATTGCTTCTATGCACAACTATTCGGCAACAGATGCCATAGGAAGTCAGATTCGTCATTACAGATAGCTTAGCAGATATGACGGTAATGGTGATGAATTGAACTATAGGTACTCGATACAAATACCACGGTAAAATATACGGGCATGAGATTAATGCACAACAAGCAAATTCCGAATCGCAAAAGAAACTGAATTTGACTGGAATAAACACGAAAAACCTGCTCTGCACATTGTAGTGAACGATACAAACTAGCCTGTCAAACAGAGCGATAAAAGCCTTCCGGTGGTGATGATGATGACGACTCTGCTGCTACTGATGATGATAATGAGTTCATTCTTTCGTTCCAGGTAGATGAAGATTTGATGCCGTTTAGACGGAAATCGTTTATGGACAAAGTGGCCAAACTGCAAAATCCTGACCATGTGCGCGAAGTAAAGGACACCAAGTGTGCCAGGGATGCCTACGCCGATCGACGCATCAAATGTATTGAGAGACAGTCGGGTACACAAATCCGCCTGAGTGATTTGGATCCATCTTCTGCGTTTGTTAAAGGACTCCCTAGAAGACGCCTGACGATCGCCGGCCCATCGTTTGCCCACATTGGGTGTGCCCTCAATCTGTTCGAGTCACTTCTACCAAAAGTAATCAAGAATGCCATTTTCCCCTATCGATTACCGAAAGGCGCCTCTACCAGGTTCTCTGCTGGGGACCGCGTAAGCTCGACATTTCACTGGGCATACGGAAGAATGGATGGTTCAGTGACTCTGCGGAGGCAACTAGATGACAAGGGCGGGTGGAGAAGCTTCCTTGTCACCAACAAGGACTGACAATTTCAAATGCAGGTGAGCTTGTGGACTTGTGGCTTAGCACACATCGTGTTTGCCCGATTGTGAAATTAAAACAGTTTACTCCATTTGAAAACAACACGCCTCCGTTAGATGTTGATGAATATGCTACACAAACACTTTGAAGCCGGCCGCAAATGGGTTGCACCATCGTTTCACACGAAACCATTCGGTATGGGAGTGAGCGTTGGTGCGATATTTGCGATCAAAAGCAAACTGAAATCCGGGAATTGGGGCGCTCCAGAACCCAACTACCAGAGGGCACCAAAGAAACATATAATAAAAGGCTTATTAGTGTTTCGTTTCCTTATTTTGCTGTCCTAACATAGTGTCTTTGAATAACATAAGCAACTTTCCTAAAAATACTGCTGAGAGCTTCATGTCAGCCAGGCCTGCGTGGTGATTGATCATTGAATAATTGGAATATAGAGAGCAGAAAGAAAAATCCTTTGTCAACTCCATCGCCTCCCGCTCGTCACAGGGATCAAGGTGGACATTTCAAGTCGGTACGAATGGAATCTCTGCGTTGATACAAGAATCAACAAGATCCGAGTTTCCTCAGCGGGTAATAATCCAATCGATGTTTGAAACATTCCTTCTACTGCGCATCAACGACATACACAGGTAGATTGTTCCATTCGTTCACTAATTTGGTAAAAAGAGTGACGTCACAACGGACCCGAAGTCTCCTTTGTTTAAACGGAAAGAATTGAGTGCAAAATATTCCTGCAGTTCAGCTCCAACTTCACCTCTAAGCATACGTCGTGTGAAAATCATATCCCGTCGATCTTTAGGAAAAGCTAGGGAGAACAAGTTCAAGCGCGGAAGACGATGTGAGTAAGGCTCGTTTCGTAACTCGAGAATGAATTTAAATCCGCTGAAACTTGTTAATCAAGTTGCATTAAAATTTGGAAGGAAGCTATATATTTATATAATTATTCACAGACTGTTAACAGACATTGTGCCATCAGAACCATGACAGAAGAGAAAGGTGAAGAAGATGTGAAAATGAACTGCGATTAAAAAATATGGGAAACGTTTTTTTGGTTTTACACACGCCAATTTTCATTTTTTGTCTTATTTTGTGAGTTTTCGTGTGCATCAAAAGGATGGTAACATGGCAGAACAACATTGACACCACTGATGTCTGTTGCGGGCCATGACGTCTAATGTTTCCAACCACTGAGCTTCAGCATCACGTGGTCCCCAACCTGGAAGACGGACTGGTCCGACTGCTGCCAAACTTTGGTTTGCCTTCTTCATGATTCTTCGCCACGTTAGTGGCTGTCCACCGCGGTACTTTTTCCATTCGCTCCCTTGGAGTGCAAATAACGCTCGACGTGGAAGGCGTTGGACTGGCGTGCACAAAACGTGCCCAAGCCAACGCATGTGATGTCGGAGAATACCATCCTGAAGACCGGCACTATTCGCCCCAGCACATGGTCCCGCACCTCTGCGTTGCTTTCATGGTGTTGCCACCACACCCGAGCAATCCTTCGTAGACAGCGATTGTCGAAGACTGACAGCTGCTTCATATCTTCCGAGCGAATAGGCCAAGTCTCACAGCCGTACAAGAGTACTGCACGACGGAAACATTGTACACCCTGCCGTTGAGCTTGAGACTGACATCACGACGACGCCATAGGTGTCTCAGCTTGATGAATGCAAGGCGGGCCTTTGCAATCCGTTGTGTGACTTCATCTCCAACAACGCCACTAGCCGTAATACAACTCCCTAAATAAGTAAAGCAAGTGTCTTGCTCCAGAATATGTCCAGCAATGGTGTGCGCGCGTTCAGGCACCTGCCAGTCCTGGAGCAACGTTTTAAATTTTCTCGGAGTGAAGCACAAGCCGTACTTAGACGACTCCATCGCGAATCGATTTAATGCGCTCTGGACGGTTTGTGGGTCGTTCCCCAACAAGGCGATATCATCGGCGTAGTCCAAGTCCGTGACTCTGTCTCCAGGGATGAGTTCAACACCGCAGTCTAGGACACATTCCAGTGCTCTTTGGAGAACATCTTCGCTGGCGAAATTGAAGAGGAAAGGTGAAAGAGGGCAACCTTGGCGAACATCGCTGGTCACAGCAAATGAAGAAGAGTGCGTGCCGTAAGCCCTGACTTTGCCTGAGGTGTGGTTGTAAAGTTCTTTCAGGATGGTTACAAACTTGTCGAACACACCTTTCTTCGGTAAACAGTTCCACAACGCATGTCTACCTACTGAATCAAATGCCGCTCGGATGTCCAAAAACACTACGATTGTTGACCGCCGGTGGATGTGACGAAGTTCGAGAACTTGCGAAGCGTGAAGATTTTGTCGATGCAGCCGCGGCCTGGACGAAATCCGGCTTGTTCTTCTCGGGAAAACTCCTCTCTGGTCGTTGAAAGCCTGCCAAGTAGGACCGACACGAGGATTTTGGATGCGACAGAGACTAACGAGATTCCACGGTAGTTGCAGCAATCGGCGCAGGATAGACAGCGGGAACTCCATACTCAAGCATCGGACGTACATTCGAGATGATCACGAGCCTGAACATATACGGGGTCAAGCGGGATAAGGATCGTCGGATAGTGAGAAACATCCTGCTGGCAGGAGCGACTTTCTCAACGTATCTTCAGTTGATTTTTGGCCTGGGGTTACAACGAGACCAAGGTTCTTCGCACGATGAGAGTTTGGCAGATAAAGCCCACGGATATGATAAATTCCAAATGGTTCGAAAACACCAATCGGAAGAACGGAGCAGTTATCATGATTTATGGGTACCTGACACCTGAGCATTGTGGTAGTTGTGACATCGATCTCCATGGGAAAAGGTGTGCCTCAAATGTACGAGTTGGTGTGGATTTACCTGTCTGATGGATTTACCTGTCTGGATTGCATCAAGTCTTTTGTCATGCAAATGGATTGGGTAAACGAGGTTTCATCTGAAAGATGATTCCAGATGAATAGGTCAGAAAAAAAGGAAGCAAAGTAGCTTGCATCCGATGGTCCATCATTGAGGTATCACAACAATTAAGCGGACTAAATGGATAGATGAAGTTAAAACACAGTGAGCCACCAATGACGCACTGGAGCGTTGGTTTATCACGGATATAAAAGCGAATGCTTGACATGTCCCGTAGGATGGTTAAGGTGAAATAACAAAAATAAAAAGCGGTGTCAGTACTCATGAAATACGACTCACCAAGAGGTTTGGAGTAACATATGCCTGTAGTTTAGAAGGGTTAAGATACCGTCCACTCTTTGTGTGGCACTAATGCCGTCATCATGAACTATATCACATAGTTCCAAGATGCTAGGGTATTACTGTCAAGGCAATTTTGAAAAGTGATAAGATGCGGGCACTAATTACAATCTTCAGCAGTGCGTTCCAGGGCTGACGCTCGGAGAGAAAAGGTTGCGTCGACATTTCAGTCGGCTGCACTGCGTGGCCAACATAAACTGTGTTTTGGCTGAGTTGCAAATGAGTTTGGCATGTGTGGTTATCGGATTATAAAATCTGATACACCATTCTGAGATCGCGCCGTAGACGCTGATAACGTCCGCTGTACATCTTTAGAGTCCTTAGCCTGAGTTAGTAGGGAAGACAGGACAAACCTCTGACCTTCTTCATCGCCTTACATTGTACAGTGTCGAACGCGATGAGGTGGTATTTCTGCCAGGGTCGTCACGCTTGGATAGCGTATTTCGCATGCGGACTCCCGTACGCGCCAAGCATTTTCAGAAAAACAGAAGCGTCCAACTTCCCGAAAGCCCTTCGGAGGCCGAAGTGCTTGTTTGCTTTTATTGATGCCTCCACAGTTTGCCTCAAACTTCCAAAGTCCTCTTGCACGAACACGCCGAGATCGCACTCATGAGAAGCCTGCTGTAGAATTCGTGGCCCTAGCCCGTATTTTATGAGTACTTTGATGGTACATGCTCAGAATTTTGCATTTAGTGACGTTGCATTGGAGCATACTCTTGAAGGACCATTTGTAATCTTTGTCCAGCTCATCGTATAGGACTGTGAGATCCTCCACTGTGGCAATAGCACGTCATATCTTCAGCTCATCAGTAAATAGTGGACAGTTTGAAGATAACATGCTCGCGAGATCATTTATGCGGTACGCCACAGTGAACTTCGATTGGTTCCGATTGGGTATTGCGAGCCCGCATGTGTAAAAGACCTTGAATAAGAAAGTCGCCTATCCACCACAGAACGGGATCGCTGATTCCGTAATTCTGAAGCTTATGCAGTAGAATGCGATTGTCTAGATGATTGAATGCATCCACTGCATCCACTCCTACATCGGCCTCCACAGGTTCCGTCCAGCATGCAAGAGCTATCGACAAACTAATTGTACAGGACCGATTTTGACGAAATCCGTGCTGCTCCGAAATGAGGATTTTGTTAATCCCCAGGTTACCCATGAGCGCATTAAATACAACGGACTCTATGATTCTAGAATTCACCGGAAGTGCAGTTTTCGGGTAAAAATTCGTTGCTTCTGTACGGCTAGAACTTTTATAGACTGGAGTGATGGTCCCGTACTTCCACATCGTGTGGACGTGCATCTCACTGAAACATCTCTGAAAGCGTATTATTAACGTTTCGGATAAACTAACTGCTACAATTTCCAAAGCCTTCGGATGAATACCATCTGTACCCAGTGAGCTGTTCTCGCGCAAGCACATTAGCCTTTTCAGTACAGCTGTGTGTGTAAGACATGTGGTCAAGGCCTGGTGACTGCATGATCTGGATACCAACGATATAAGCCGATTGTGCATTTTGGAAGGTAGGGCCTAACTATTGTCCAATAAAGTTAGTCGCCTCTTGTACCATTTGTGCTAACCCGCATGCTGATTGTGGAGCAGGAATTCAGCGCCTTACCCGGCGAAGTTTGTTTACTTGTCGGTATAGCAACTTAGGATCAAGGCAAAATTTTCATACAAGGTCTTGTGGGTTCTTTACTTCATCCTCCTGGACGAGGTTGACACAGTGGTTTCTTGGTGTTTTGTA